TCCAGGTTCCTTAATCATCTTGATGGCCCTTTGTTTGGGTCTCTCCAGTATGTCCATGTCTCTCTTGTACCGGGGAGCTCAGAACTGGACACAGTACACCAGGTGTGGCCTCATCAGTGTTGAGTAAAGGGGAAGGATCATGCCTCTCCACCTGTTGGCAATGCTTTAACAAATGCAGACAAGGGTACCATTGGCCTTCTTTGCAGCAAGGGCGCAATGCTTGTTCATGTTCAACTTGATGTTCATGAGGACTCTCAGGTGCTTTCCTGGAAGCAGCACAACCCTTTGTAATATCAGACACTCTTCCCTGTTTTGGTGCTGTCTGCAAAGTTGCTGAGGGTACACTCTGCCTGATCATACACATCATTAATGAAAATGTTGAACTGGACTGGACCCAGTATTGACCCTTAAAGTACACTGCTAGTCACTACACTTTTTGCCACTGATCATCATCCTCTGGGCCCAGCCATTGTGGTAGGTTGACCTTGGCTGACTGCTAACTGCTCACCAAGTTGCTCAGTACAAGAAAGAAAAATACCACAAAATGCTCATGGGTCAAGATAAAGACAGGGAGATCATTCAGCAATTGCTGTCACAGGCAGAACAGGCTAAACTTGGAGAAATTAATTCAATTTATTGTCAATCAAATTTGGATAATGAGAAATAAAAATACATTTAGAAAAACATTCCTCTCAATTCTTGCTTCTTTGCAGGCTCAACTTCACTCCCAACTCTTGTAACTCCTCCCCCCCAGCAGCACAGAGTGATGGGGAATGGGGGTTGTAGTCAGTTCATAATGCATTATCTCTGCCTCTCCTTTCTCCTCACCTGCTTCAGTGTGGGATCCTTTGCACAAGAGACAGTCCTTCATGAACTTCACCAGTGTAGGTCCTTCCCATAGACTGCAGTTCCTCATGAACTCCAGCATGGGTCCTTTCCATGGAGTGCAATCCTTCAGGAACAGACTGCTCTAGCATGGGTCTCCCATAAGGTCACAGGTCCTGCCAAAAAAATCCTGCTCTATGTGGGCTCTTCATGGGCTGCAGCTTCTTTCAGGGCACATCTACCTGTTCTGGTGGGGGTTCCTCATAGGCTGCAGGTGGATCTCTGCATCTCCATGGATCTCCATGGGCTGCAAGGGAACAGCTGCTTCATCATGGTCTTCACTATGGGCTGCAGAGGAATCTCTGTTCTGGCACCTGGAGCACCTCCTCCCCCTCCTTCTTTTCTGATCCTTGGTGTCTGCAGAATTTTTTCTCACATATTCTCACTCCTCTCTCCCAGCTACTGTTGTGCAGCATTTTTTACTCTTTTTAAAATATGTTATCACAGAGGCACTACTAATGTCTGATTGGCTCAGGCTTTGGCCAGTGGTGGGTCCATCTTGGAGCTGGCTGAAACTGGCTCTTTCTGACATGGGGGCAGCTTCTGCTGTCTCCTCTCAGAAGCTACCCCTGAAGACCCCCACTAGCAAAACTTTGCCACATAAACCCAATATAGCCATTCAGCCAATTCTCAATCTATCTCAGTGTCTGCTCATCCAGCCCATATTTCAATTTTTCACCTCATCTACCAGGCCAGTCATTTCATTGTAGAAGTTTATCAATTTGGTCAAGTGTGAACTCCTTTTGGTGAATCCATGCTGACTACTCCCAATTGCCATCTTCTCCTTCATGTGTTTTTAAATGGTTTCTAGGTTTAGCTGCTTCATCAATTTCTCAGGAACAAGGTGAGGCTAACCGGTCTATAAAAGCTGTTAAAACTGTTTGACTCCTATAATGTCACCTGTAATAATGCCAGAATTAAGGCTTTTCCCCAAGATAAAGCACATTGGAGCAAGTGGTAGCATAATCCTGGCTCCTAGTACCTAGATTTTTTTTTTCTGTGTGAAAGTTCTTTTTAAACCCTAGAAACTCAAAAGACTGTTACTTTTATACATTCAAGACACTTTGGATTCTACTCAAAGAGCTGAAAAAATTGTGAAATAATAAATTTTCTAGAAACTAGTGGAACTATGTGAACATACTGATTTTGATTTAAAAATAGAAATTGATCTTCTGCCAGACATTTTTAGAGTATAATGAGTATAATTCTTTAAAAATTAGGTTTTTTGATTGCAAAGAGATCTATCAAGTGATGACAAGTTTATCCATAAGAGTTCAATGTCACTGTTGATCAGGTAGGGAAAAGGTAGGGAAAAGTACTGGAGCTAACTACAAATACAATAATAGGCTACAGAGCTACAAATATATGTGTAAAGAATATAGAGAATATATAAAAGAAAAAAAGGCAAAAATCAATTCAGCATCACTGTGATACTAGAGATTAAACTTTAATCTTCCTAAAGTTGATTACAGTTGTAAAATTTATTTCTGCAGGCCTGGGATTTTATCCTGGGCCTTTACAATAACTAAACTTCATATAAAATTCATAGAGATTTAGATGATGACAAAAGTTTTTGTTTTCAAGTATTCTCATTCCTAAAGTTATCATACTCTATGTTAAGGCCAAGAGGTGTCTTTTGGAAAAGTATACTTCTTGTTGTTGTGGTTCGACGCTGTCCAAATGCCAGGCACTCATGGAAGTTGTTTGCTTACTCTCTCCTGCTACAGTTGGGTAGAGGAGAGGGGAAAAAATTAACTAACAGTTCACGAGTTAAGGACTGGGAGAAAAAAAGACTTTAACAGCAAAACAGGTTCAAATTTAAAGGTATAAAGTAAATTTATTATTAACAGAGTCAGAGGAGGAAAATGGGAAGTAAAATAAGCCTTTAAAACACCTTTTTTCCCCGCAGCCCCTCCATCTTTCCCACCGACAGCACAGGAAGACAGGGCATGAGGGGTTTTGGTCAGATCATCTTTCAAGATCTTTTTCCATTCACTCAGGGAGAGGAGTCTTTTTTCTGCTATGCCATGGGGTCCCTCCCACGGGCAAAACCGTCATCCCCAAACTGTTGTGGCATGGGTCATTTGTCCACGGGGTGTGGTCTTTTAAGGCTAGGCTGCTCAAGTTTGAAAGCAAGGGCTCTCTCTCTCTCTATCTCTGGAAACAGGGGCCCTCTCTCTCTATTCAGGTCTCCCACTAGACCACAGCTTTCTCTAACATCCACCCATTCTGGCATGAGCACTTTTCCCACAGGCTGCGAGTGGACCTCTGCATCCCCTGTGGACTTCATGCATTAAAAGGGGACAATTTGTTTTACCATAGTCCTCACCACGGCTTGCAGAGGAATCTTGGCTCCAGCGCTTGAAGCACCTCCTCCCCCTCTTTCTTTTCCACTGACCTTGGTGCTGCCATGTTGTTTTCCCTCACATATCCTGAATTCCTCCTCTTCTCTGACTAGAAGAAAATCTTCTGCTTGTAGCTACCATTGTCAACAAGTTCCACCAATTCAAAGATTCTTGCAAGATCCCACAGTGCTGAGAAGTTGATCTCATGTAGGTTCCGCGTCAGGGAATCGCTCGTCATGCTTCTGCTGCTGGCCAGGCGGCCCTGCTGCCATTGTGCAGGCAGTGGCAGCTGCTGCAGCACTGACACTATTTAACACCTTTCTTCATGTGGGGCACCAGGAAGGGGAAGCTATCGTCATCACTCCTGCCCTTTTTGCCCACAGCGCAGTTGGCTAGGGGCAGCCAGGCAGGCAAGGCTGGCCACGAGCCACACTGGGGATGGCAGCGGCCGCAGCAAAAAACCAGGCCATGCCAAATCAACACACTTGTATATCACATGTTCTATGTTATTGTATAGTTAAATATATGTCTAGAATGACCAGAACCTTGGATGCTTGCTTCTTAAGGGAACTTTCTCATAAACTAAAATCTAAATAGCCACATAGGACATTTCTATTATCTAATGAATAAGATCAAAATGGGAACATGCTCACATCTGACTCAACTACTTTTAAGAGGAGCATTTTCAGAGTGGAATTTGTTGATGTTTCTAAAGTTAAAACAAAGCTTTACAATCTGCAATTTCAGACTTGAGCAACAGTTCACATGCATTGCTTTCTGCATTGAGGTTTGTCTAGTTTTCTTCTGGCTACAAAGCTACTTCAGAAGGACAAAGGTTCCAAGTTCTTATCATAAGAGCTATGGCAGAATTAATTTTCAATTGTGTTGAAGATGGCAGGCAGAATCTTCAGCCTGTCTGTGTGATGGTTTTAACATCTGACCACCCTAAACAGAACTCCTATTTGTATATTTGTCCTTTTTATCCTTTATAAAAGTTTTTGCGACTTAAATGATGAAGAGAATAGAATGGAATGGAATGGAATGGAATGGAATAGAATAGAATAGAATAGAATAGAATAGAATAGAATAGAATAGAATAGAATATTTCAGTTGCAAGGGACTTCCAACAATCATCTAGTCCAACTGCCTGACTACTTCAGGGCTGAACAAAAGTTAAAGCATATTATTAAAGGCATTGTTCAAATGCCTCTTGAACAGTGACAGGCTTGAGGCATTGACCGCCTCTGTAGGAAACCTGTTCCAGTGTTTGACTACCCTCTCAGTAAAGAAATGCTTCCTAATATCAAGTCTGAACCTCCCTTGCTTCAGCTACTTAGTTTAAGTAGCCTTCTCAGACCTTCTGAGCTTATGAGAGGTTTGTTACATGTTAAAATTATTTAAATTACTTTGTCTTCATACAAATGAATCACCCTTCTTTAGGTGATTAAACCTTTATTTTTGAGCTACTTGATTCCTGGGAAGACAAGTCCTTTGGAAAAGGAAATATTGTGTTTCTGTTTAGTGTAAATGCGCTTTAGATGTTAGTGGTATAGTTTTTAACCAAATTCCACAAGAAATTGGTAGTTGTGCTGTGATATGTGCTTTATGAATTTTATGTGTTGCCAATGTTCTACATTTCCTTGCTACAATTATTCTGATGTTACTTTTTTCTTTTGTGTGAACTAGCAAAACTGTATATTAAGACTCAGAAATCAGGCACTTACAAAAAAGTGATCCTAAAGAATGATTTTGTATTTGATCATTTTGTAGGTACAAGCCTCTGCAGAAAGTGGATGGAGTTCCAGATAGTTTCACAGGAAGTGGTCAACAGACAGGCACATCTGCTGAACAAACTATAATTGCCCAAAGTCAACATCATCAACAGTTTTTAGGTATGAAAAGATGTTATACTGTCGTCTCACTGATAATAGAACAAAAAGATACTCATAGGAGCTATATGTTCTGTATTGCAAGACTTCTGCAGTATTTAATATTCATTATGCAGATATAAAAAAAAAATGTACAAAATCTATTTGCACAGTAGATTTAAAATATATTGCAATGCAAGTGTGGTGAAGACTCTGAGGCAAACTGCTCTGGCAGATGTGCTCTGGAGTCAAGGATCATGCCGAGGGACTGTGGAGAGAGTTCCTGAAGTGGCAAGACCTCAAAATTAGCACTGAGAGGTGCCTCAGCACCCCACCTTCCCCTCCCAGCAGGAAGCGCTGAAGCTCTGACCCAGAGGCAGCTCTGACTCAGTGTGGGTGAGGTCAGGAGTGATGAGGTCCACTCCCCACCCTGTAACACCCCAGACAATGTATGGGGCTAAACTGAGGTTCCTTTGCTTTGGGTACATGCAAGGGAGAAATACCAACCAGATATTCTCAAGAGGTAAAAATCCTACAAAGGTTTACTGGCAAAAAATAGAAAATCAAGGAACTTTGGCAAAAGATTTAGTACAACATAAAACACTTATCACGGCATCATCTTAGCCCATTCAACTTCGCAACCTTTAAACCCATTTGATGTTACGTTCCATGAGAAGAAAGTTAGAAGAAGAAGAAAGGGAGAAAGACGGGAAAGATATAGCAAAAGAGTCATAGCTACCAACTCCTGGGTTCCAACAATGCAACAGATAGAAAACTCCAAGATGAAGGTAGGGTTAAAGAATGACATGCTTGCCTTGTGCTCAGCCTTTTTAAACCCTTGGCCCTTCATGGGCCTTCCTCCCAGGTGGGACTTCCAGTTGCTAAGCCACTCAGGGGCTGGGTTAGGCAACACTGGGGGGATGCCTCCAGTGTTCTATTATTGACAGAGACTGCAGGGCTGGGGGGTATTGGGGGCAGGGCACCACCTCACCAGAGCAAGGCTGGACTGCCCCCTACTACACACATTCCAAGCATCCCAAACTGTCTCCAGACATTGATCTTTCCAGTCTCTGACACACCCCTACAAAAGCAGCTCCTAGGGCACAAAGTAGGTAAACAGGGCAGGGTGTGGCAGTTCAGGAAGGTAGAATGCAGTCACCCACCAGCTCAAGAGGAGAACTCGCTGGTCATTACCTTCTCAGAAGGAGCTCAGCTATAGTATCCACTTGGAGGGGAGCTATGTCCTCTGGACTTGCCAGAAAGGATGTGGTGACACAGACAGTGATGCCATGAAAACACGCAGCCATCTAGGTCTTGGGCTACAGGGAATGCCAGAGCCTGGCACTGGTACTGGATGGCAGTAGAGACAACAGCTGTGTGAGGTGTGGTGAAGTGGATTATCTGCTCAGCCCAGGGGCAGATCTAAGAGAGGAGGTAGAAAAGAAGTATCAGGGACTCTGAATGGTTGAGCCAATCTCTACCATTCCTAAGGCAAATGCACCAGCTGGCCACACCACAAGAAGAAAATGATCCCTTACACTCTCACTACCAGGCAGAAGGAGGGGACCTAAGAGATGAGAGGGAATGGAAACAGGTGTCTACTCAAGGCAGCAGGCAAATCCCCTCCTGGCCTACCTCACCTTCCCAGCTGCAATACAATAAGTATGAGGCTCTAGAACTTGAAGACCAGGCACAGAATCATCAACGTTGGAAGAGACTTCCAAGATCATCTAGTCCAACCATTAACCCAGCACTCCCATAATCACCCTTAAACCATATCCCCAAGTGCCATATCCAGATGCCTCTTGAACACAAATACAACATGGGCACCCTACAATATGGACAAAGGTCTGTCCAGGTTGGAGGAGTTGCCTAGAGTGAGTAAGTTTACCCCCTGCATCACAACTGCCTCAGTCAAGAAAAAAAGAGCAATTGTCATTGGTGACTCCTTTTTGAGAGGAACAAAGGCCTGATATGCTGACTGGACCCAACCCATAGGGAAGTCTGGTGCCTCCCTGAGGCCTGGGTAAGAGACATTGCCAAGAAACTCTGTAGCCTGGAACAGCCCTCTGATTATTATCCATTACTGGTTTTTCAGGTGGTCAACAATGAAGTCCAAAAAAAAGTCTGAGGACAATAGAGAGGAGCCCCAGGGCTTTGGGATGACTGGTTGAAGGATCTGGAGCAAACAGTTTTCTCCTCTGTTCTGTCAGTTGCAGGGAATGATGGAGGTTGAAACAGGAAAATCATGCAGATGAATACCTGGTGCTGAGCCTGGTGTCACCAGCAGAATTCAGGTTTTTTTGATCATGGGTTGTTTTACATGACACTGAGCCTGCTGGCAACAGCTGGGGTACACCTGTCTCAAAGGGGTAAAAAGGATCCTTATTAGCTAGCAGGGCTCATTGAGAGAGCTTTAAACTAGATTTCAAGGGAATAAAATCAGGAACACTGGAGATAAGCCTGGGGGTGGCACACCAATGACAGATGGTGTGCTAATGAGGTCCTTCAGTCTGTAGTCTTGATAGAGGTAGGAGATGGAGATCCATGCAGTAGCAAGGATGCACGGGTTATTGATGTGCTAGAAACCACAGAAGCAGCTGAGAATGGTCAGGCAGAAATTAGAGCTTCTCCCCCTGAAAAGATAGTGGATCAATAGCACAACTTAAGTGTATTACATCAATGCATTCAGCATGGGCAACAAACAGGAGGAACTGGAAGCCATGGTGCAGCAAGAAAACTATGACATAGTTGCCATCACAGAGACACGATGGAACTGTCGTAGCATGGCATCCCCAGCCAGGTAATTGGCATGAGGTTCAACAAGGTGAAGTGTTGGGTCCTGTATTTGGGTCACAACAACCCCATGCAATGCTACAGGATGGGGGAAGAGTGGCTGGAAAGCGTCAGAAAAGGATCTGGGGGTGCTGGTCAACAGCCGGCTGGACTTTAGATGGCAGTGTGTCCGGGTGGCCAAGAAAGCCAATGGCATCCTGGCTTTTACATTTGCTAATGTAAAAATGCTTATTAAATGTGTTATTGCAGTAATTGTACACTTTGTTTTGAATTCATATATTGGGGATTTTGAAGCATCTCATCTTTTGGCACAACCTTGCTGTTACCAAAATCATTGGGAACCCTTGGCTATAGTTAGCAGGTTTTTTTAATTTCCTTTCCACTGTCCCCCTAGTTGACAGTGCATTTCCCCCCCGTACCAGTATATCTGTTGGAAACACTTATGAGAAATAGTAAAAGCACATGTTGGCTACAGTAGAAAGGCTTTTAAATTTCAAGTAAGTATATGCTGCTGAGTCTACTAAACCCTAACATGCATGTCAATGCAAAAGCTCTTTGGTTGATCAAAATAAAACTAGTACATTATATTGATCTCTTATATACTGACATTAATATTCTGAAAATTAGTCTTATATTTTTTCACATACAGATACAATATGTATGTGTAATCATTTTTATCTGCTACCTCTTAAGAATAATTTAACATCTTTTGTTTTAAAAATAGCTAGCTGGTTTGCTCACAATTTTATTGCAACTTTAAAACATGTTAAGTATGAAAGACATTCCTCTTTGGGCATTATGACCTTCTAGACTTTATTTCTTTACATCATCCTTACATGTTTTCTGATCAAACTGTAATTGGCATAATTTGCAATATCTTTCTTCTGTTATGTTGTCATGGAAACAGATGCATCTCGAGTACTTCCAGAGTTTGGAGAAGTTGAAATATCTTCTCTGCCAGATGGTACTACCCTTGAGGACATAAAATCACTGCAAAGTCTTTATCGAGAACACTGTGAGGTAAGAAAAGTGTCTTTTCACAGAAATCATTTTTTGAAAATTCATGTCTTCTAGTGAGAATCAGTACAACAAGGTGACTGACACAAAACAGATTACAGCCAGCCTACTTGTATCTTATGTGATTCTCAAATATTTTGCTTATTCAGAAAGGACATTTACAAAAAGACCCCTGAAATTTCTCTCTTAACAGGAAAAAAACCCCCATGTAATAGAATACCCATACTGGAATGTAATCATGTGTAGATTTTGAGAATTTTAGATAAAACAAACTTCAGATAATATATATTCAGAATTGAGCTTTTTTAATATGAGATGGAATCAAATTATTATTTGTAATGTTTATGTTAAAAACAAACTAATTTTTTTCTTCAAGTTTTAAAGAAGCAGGTTGCTTAAGAACTTAAGGCCGCATTTTATATTGAATAGCGTGTTTTGAAATTATTGTTGAAGGTGTTTTAAAGCATGTAATGAACTAACAAAATTAATGAAATAGGTTTCCTTTGTGTTTTCACTAGTGTTAAAAGTTCAGTTTAAGTGAATTCACCTGATATATATATGCTTAGGCTCTTTTCTGGAGGGCTGATCTTAGTCACTTGGCCTGATCTTAGTTTCTGGTTACACCAGTCCAGACAGCTGGAAAAATTTTTGCTACAAAGTTATTAAAAAGGATATTCTATGTTTATTTATAAGCATACATTTTAATTTTTTTTTCTGCAAAATGACCAGGGGCAGCTATACCCCTTGAAAGAATTGTGGGGAGAATCACTTAGAAGACTATCTGCACTGATTTTATATTTCTTTAGGCAATAGTGGATGTTATTGTGAATCTTCAGTTTAGCCTGATAGAAAAATTGTGGCAAACTTTCTGGCGCTATTCTCCCTCTGCTCCAGCTGACGATGCGGCTATTATTGAACTGAGGTCAGTAAATGTATCTTTGCTTACTGTTCAACATCATGATATAACAGCAGGAGTCAAATCAACAGAAGACTTAGTTTTACCTATAGGCTAAGAACCTTTTCTGATAACAATAGTTTTTCAGGTTAAATTTGTGTTGTCTGCTATTTGATATATAGGGTGTTGGTATATGTCAAACTGCAGCCTTGAAATGATTGTATACATCTATTTTTTTTCATTTGGATTACTAGATTCAAAGTATCTTTTCACAATATGTTGTCTGATCTGTTTAAATTGCAAGGACCATTTTTATCATATCTCTGCATTATTTATGGTCTGGAGCAGAACTTTGGAGGCCATTTTCCCCCCCAGTTTCATATGATGAAGTTAGAGTTTCAATTGGATGTAACAGAAACATCTATAAAGTTTTCATTAAATAATCTATTTCAAAATGGATTGCACTTATCTGTATGTAAATGCATTTCCATTTGTTACATTTATTCACAACAGCAATCTGAGTGAAATAGAAAGTCGACTTCCAAAAGGAAAACTTATTACTCTGTGCAAAAATGAGTCTATTCTGAAATGGATGGGTAACTGTGACCATGTGATGTACCAGGCTTTGGTGGAGATTCTCATTCCTGATGTCCTTAGACCTATTCCTAGTAAGTTAAACACAGATAACATTTCATAAGACTGTCTTTTGTTTTGTTTTATGTGGTGAGATTTTTGTGCCTCGTGAAACTTTTGGGAATGATTTCAAAGGATCTAAACATTGTGTGTGTATGTGTGTGATCTTTCCTTAACTTTGTTGACTAGAAAGGCATACTGGAGTTGATGTAAGCATTGTATTTAAAGAAAAGCGGAGTGGATGTTTCATTGTATTTAGGAAAGCCTATAGAATTTTTAAGAATATATTTTATTATGAATTATGCCTTTTTTACTGCTAATTCTAAGTTTTTATCAAAGATAAAAATTGCTTTTTTAATATACTAGTTCTAGTCTAACTGACAGCTGTGAATGCACTATGGCCCTAAGCCTGAGTCCAATAATGTCAAGACAGTCTTTCTGTTGACTTCAGTAGGCTTTAGTTTAAGTTTTTTATATATAAGTTCTAGTTATTAAAAAAAGTAAAATGTATATACTTTTTTATTTTATTTTTGGATAATTAAACATTAATGTATTATTAGCGGCTTCTAAAACCCTATCAGTTTTGATACCTATTTAACCAACATAACACTATCAAACATCTTAAGACTTGTTTATTGTTCCAGTCTATTGTAGTTTATTTTCGATTTCCAGTATGAAGGACTCATTGATTCATTCTGATATTATGGCAAACTGACCATTATCAGGAATAGAGCATTCTTTTATAGCATCCATGGTACTTTTTAATGGCTGCTTTTGGTAGTAAATGATTTTTAAATTGTTTTCCAGGAAGGATAAATTCTTTTTAAAAACATTTATTGCATGTTTTGTATGTTGTGTTAAATCTTGAAATGCAATTATAATTATATATATATATATAATATTAAAAGAAATTATAAAAGAAATATTAGGAACCAACAGGGAGACACCTTTAAAATGCCACAAAGGAATTGTGTTCCTCTAAAATGGTGACAAGGCTGATAGGTCTACTGAAGTGCCTCTATAGCAATGCATGCAGGATGGATAACAGACAGGAAAAGATGGAAGCCTCTGTGCACCTGGAAAGCTATGATTTAATACCATCACTGAAACAATGGGACAAATCACACAACTGAAACGCTGCAATCAATGGCTATAGACTGTTCAGAAAGCATTGGCAAGGAAGAAGGGGTGGAGGGGTTGCCCTCTGTGTAAAAAAAAAATTGACTGGAGAGAGCTGTCTTTGAAAACAAGTGCTGAATGGGTTGAAATCTTTTGGGTAAAAATAAGGGAAAAGCCAACAAAGGAAACCTCATGGTTGGTGTTTGCTACAGGCTGCCCAATCAAGGGGAGCCTGTTGATGAAGTGTTCTTACTTCAGCTACAGGAAGCATCACACTCACAGGCTCTGATCCTCTTGGGGGACTGCCCTGACACCAGCAATCTCTCCTCCCACATCTTTCAAGACCCTGAAATTCAAGGTAGGGACTGGGAGGAAGAAGTCCTTCCCATTATGAGAGAAGATCAGGTTTGTGACCACCTGAGGAACCTGAGCATACACCAGTCCATGGGATGACAGGAGAAGCTGGAAGCCATTGTGCAGCAGGAAAACTATGACATAATTGCCGTCACAGAAACATGGTGGGATGACTCACATGACTGGAGTGCTGCAATGGATGGCTATAAACTCTTCAGAAGGGAAAGGCGAGGAGGGAGAGATGGTAGGGTAGCCCTGTATGTTAGGGACTGACTCAACTGTCTGGAGCTTAACGATGGTGTCTATAGGGTTGAGTGTTTACTCAAGAATCAGGGGCAAGGCCAACAAGACAGATATTGTGTGAGTCTGTTATAGACCACTCAACAAGGGTGAAGAGGCAGATGAAATATTCTATAAACAGCTGGGAGAAGTCTTAATAATCACTAGCCCTTGTTCTCGTGGGAGACCAACTTATCAGATGTCTGTTGAAAATACCACACAGCAGAGAGGAAACAGTCTAGGAGGTTCCTGGAGTGTGTGCAAGAGAACTTCCTTACACAGATGGTGAGCCAACTCAGGAAGGTGCCCTGCTGGACCTGTTGTATGTGAACAGTAATGGACTGCTGGATGATGTCTTAGGCAAAGCGATCATGTAATGACAGTTTTTGATTCTCAGACAAGTAAAGAGGGGTGACAACAGAACTGCTACCTTGGACTTGCTGAGAGCAGACTGGCCTGTTTAGGAAACTGGTTGAGTGAGTCCTTTGGGAGGCAGTGCTGAAGGGCTAAGAAGTCCAGGAAGACTGGACATTCTTCAAGAATGAAATTCTAAAGGTGCAGGAGCAGACTGTCCCCACGTGTTCAAAGATGAACCTGCGGGGAAGATGACTGGCCTGGCTGAACAGAGGACTTTGGCTGGAACTCAGGGAAAAATAAAGAAGAGTTTATGACCTTTGGAAGGAGGGACAGGAAACTCAGGAGGACTACAAACATGTCATGAGTTTATGTGGGGAGTATATGAGCCAGCAGTGTGCTCAGGTGACCAAGAAGGCCAAAGACATCCTAGCTTGTGTCAGAAATAGTGGGGCCAGTAGGACCAGGGAAGTGATTGTTCCCCTGTATTTGGCACTGGTGAGGCTGCACCTCATATTGTGTTCACTTCTGGGCCCCTCACTTCAAGGAAGATATTGAGGTGCTGGAGTGTGTCCAAAAACAGGCAATGAAGCTGGTGAAGGGTCTGGAGCACAAGTCTTATGAGGAGCGGCTGAGGGAGCTGGAGTGTGGGGAAAAAGAGGCTCAGGGGAGACCTTATGTCTCTTTACAACTACCTGAAAGGAGCTTGCAGCAAGGTGGGGGTCTCTACTCCCTAGTAACAAGTGAAATGGAACAAGAGGAAATGGCCTCATGATGCACCAGGAGAGGTTTAGAGTAGATATTAGGAAAAATTTCTTCACTGAAAGTGTTGTCAAGCATTAGAGTCACCATCCCTGGAGGTATTTAAAAGACGTAGCTGTGGCACTTAGGAACATAGTTCAGTGGTGGACTTGGCAGTGTTAGGTTAATGGTTGGACTCAATGATCTTAGAGGTCTGTTGCAACTTAAATAGTTCTATGATTCCATGACCCAACAAGATGCATGCCAGGGTCCTGAAGGAACTGATGTAGTTCACAAGCCGTTCTCCATTACATTTAAGAAGTCATGGCAGTCAGACTGCATCACCAGTGACTGGAAAAAGGGAAACATTGCACCCATTTTTAAATAGTGTAAAAACAAGGTTTTGGGAACCACCAGACCAGTTGGCCTCACCTGTTACCTGTAAGATCATGGAGCATGTAAAGGAAACTTCCCAGTCTTACCATTCAGGAGAGTCTCTGGCAGTCACACTCCAAATGTCAGAGACTTTAACTGCTGGGACTAAAGCCTCTTCGCAGTGGTGGCTCCAGTGAGCTGAAGGGAGCCCCTGCACACCCCACTCACATGCAGTCGGACCAGGTTTCCTTACCAGTTCGACCCCAGGTTTCCCATAGCAATCTCAGATGTCTTGTTCCATAAAGCAATTTATTCACTGCACAGCAGCACAGAAACAGCCTGAGCTGGTGCCTCTAAGGAGTCTCGTGTATGGTCAGACTGGGTAGTTTCCTTAACAGAGCAGATCCTCCTGGAAGCTACATCGATGACAGGGGGGACATTAGACACAGCTAACATGGCTTCAACAAGGACAAATCGTGTCTGACTAATCTAGTGGCCTTGTACAATGGAGTGACTGCATCAGTGGAAAAGGGGAGAGCTTACAGATGTAATCTACCTGGATTTATGTAAGGCCTTTGATACAGTCCCCCAAAATATTCTGGCCACTTAGATGGTGTTGTGGTTTAACCCCAGCTTGCAAATAAGTACCATACAGATGCTCCCTCCCCCACTAGCTGCATGGGAAATCAGAAAAAAGTAAAACTTGTGAGTTAAGAACAGTTTAAAAATTGAAACAAATTAAAATATAATAATACTAATATTTTTAATGATGATAATAACAATAATAATAATTGTAATGAAAAGGAGAGAGAGAAAAAAATAAAACCCAGGAAATACAAGTGATGCACAATACAATTGCTCTCCACCTGCTGACCGATGCCCAGCCTGTCCCTGAGCAGCAATTGATCACTTCCAGCTAACTCCTCCCAGTTTATATTCTGGGCATGACCTTCTATGGAGTGGAATATCCATTTGGCCAGTTCAGGTCTCCTGTTCCAGTCATGTTCCCTCCCAGCTTTTAGTGCACCTCACTAGCAGAGCATGAGATACTGAAAAGTCCTTGACTTAGGGTAAGCTCTACTTGGGAAATACCAAAACATCTGTGTGTTATAAATATTATTACAGAATCACAGAATCATTTAGGTTGGAAAAGACCTCTAAGATTGAGTCCACCATTTAACTAATCACCACCTTGTCAACTACACCATAGCACTAAGTGTCACAACCATTTTTTTTAAAACCTCCAGGGATAGTGACTCCATCACCTCCCTGGGCAGTCCATTCCAATGTTTACCAACTCTTTCTGTGAAGAAATTCCTCCTGATGTCCAGCCTAAACCTCCCCTGGTGCAGCTTGAGACTGTGTCCTCTCATCCTGTCGCTAGTTGACTGGGAGAAGAGGCCAAGCTCCACCTCACCACAACCTCCTTTCAGGTAGTTGTAGAGAGTGATAGTATCACCCCTGAGCCTCATTTTCTCCAGGCTAAACAACCCCAGCTCCCTCAGCCACACCTCATATGACTTACTCTCTAGATCCTTCACCTGCTTCCTTGTCCTTCTATGGACTTGCTCCAGAACCTCAATGTCCTTCCTGTAGTGAGGGGTCCAGAACTGGACACGGTACTCGAGGTGTGGCCTCACCAGTGCCCAGTAGAGAGGGACAATTACTTCCCTGGTCCTGCTGGCCACACTATTTCCGATACATGGCCTTCTTGGCCATCTGGGCACACTGATGGCTCATGTTCAGCTGGCTATTGGCCAACACCTCCAGGTAATTTTCCACTGGGCAGCTTTCCACCTGCTTTCCCCAAGCC